ATAGTTGCCCAGTGTCTTTTGGGGAGGATGGTGCTGGGTTCAAAAGTGGTAAAGAGTAAGTTGCATAGAGAAACTTTATTAAATAAACATAATGAACTTAAAACAGAAGAAAAACTTAGACAAGAAAATAATCTATCATGGTGGGAGCAGATAACATTACGGGATAGATACAAGAAAGATATGACAAGAGGTTTTGAAGACCAAAATAATGAACTTGACAAGATCTGGCTATCCTCGAATGATAAATTAGTACAGAAACTATATAGATTTCTGCTAAGGGATTATGAACAGGATGAAGAAATTAAATCTGTAATGATCACTTGGATGAAAGATATAGGAAAGGAATTAGAGGAAGAAAAATGGGCTGGTATATGGAAGTCAGTCAAATATATGAGAGCGGTAGCATATAAAGAGAACGTTTATAAAATGTTTCATAGATGGCACTGGGCTCCAGACAAGCTAGCCAAATGTTATGGGGGATATTCAAACCGGTGCTGGAAATGTAAAGAGTGTAAGGGGACTTTCTATCATATGTGGTGGGAATGTGACAAAATGCAAAGTTTCTGGAAGATGGTTAGAAAGGTAATTCAAGAAAGCCTGGGGAAAAATCTAGCGCTAAAACCCGAAATATACCTGCTAAATATGATACCGATAGAATACAACAAACAGGATGCGTATGTATTAAGCTATATTATAACAGCAGCTAGACTGCTAATAGCTCAAAAATGGAAAGCTGAAGTTATACCTACAAGGGAAGAATTAATACATAAATTACTGGAACTAGCTAGAATGGATAACTTAAGTCTAATGATACAAAATAAAAAAGAAAAGGTACACGAAAGGAGGTGGGAAAAAGTATATATGTGGATAGAAAAATTGATAGAAAATTAGTAACCCCAACTTGTAAAGAAAAAACAAGAAATGAATGACTCTGATTTATATGTAACTTGAACAGATGAAATGTTTGTATATATAAAGTTCAATAAAATAAAAAACTGTATTTAAAAAAAAAAGTGGGCTGAAAGTATTTAAATAAAGAAACAAAGAAACAAATCCGCTTTCTGAAAAATGAACATTATTTCTATTAAAAGGCTATAGACAAACCATCTCATTTTCTTTTAATCGTCTTTGGGTTATCTATTTTTGCCCATACATATGAGCATATGAAAAACAGTACTGGATTGGGCCAATGTTCTGTCATCATCCTGTTTCACACAGTGACCAACCAGTTGCTCTGCAGGGATAATAAAGAGGACATAGAGGCCAAGCCCTTCAACTGAAGTTGGTGGTTAACTGCCTCTGAATATGGAGGTTCTGTTTAGTCACCATGGCCAATAGCCATTGATGGACCTCTTCCCCATGAATCTGTCTAATCCTCTTTTAAAGCTATCTGTGCTTTCATCCTTCCCTAAAACAGGGCAGTGGATGCTACTGTGACTCCCTTCAGATCCTTTAAGGATAAGTGGCTATAATAGCAGCCCGGAATTATTTCTCCATGAGACATTTTAGAGATGGCACTATTTCTTTATCTTGCCATTTCCCAACCAGGAAAGGCTGCCACAATAAAACGCAGGCATTCTTTCCAGTTAAAACTTCGTACACAGTCTTAACAGGAAAAGAGTGTTGTGGTAACTGACAGACATTTACATCACTTACTTATCCTGGGAACTGCACACAAAGTATGGCATATGAATTCACCTCATGAATTCAATATTGTATACTCCAAGCCAGTGTTCCCTCTAAGCTGAGTTAGTGTGAGCTAGCTCACAGTTTTTTAGCCTCCAGCTCGCACATTTTTGCCTTAGTTCAGGAAGGATGGCTCCAGAGCAAACTAATTTATGCAGTAGCCAAATCATGAGCTCACAACTTTAATGCCAGTAACTCACCAAGTAGAATTTTTGCTCACAAGACTCCATAGCTTAGAGGGAACATTGCTCCAAGCCAGAGCTTAAAAAAATTTATGAAGTAACTTTTTCAAACCATTCTTTTTTCTGCAGCCTAATGTAGAATTTGTACGAATATTACTTTCTCCCTCTGAGATTTTCCTCAGGGACAGTTCAGGCAATCCCCTTATCATGTTCTTCTATCCAGTTATCCTCATTACAGGTAAATGCTCAAACTGGGAGATCCTATAGTTTCTGTATAAAAGATCTTGTTTGCTCCTCAGTTGGGTTTAATCATACAGTATCTGGGGTTATTCATACAGTATTGTGGGAGTATCTCATGTTCATAAAAATGTAGGGTCTCCTAGGTTGGGTAGTAATTTCCCATAGGGAGGCAAAACAGGCTCCATCTCCGGCATTTACTTTTCCACACACAACAAAGTGAGTTGATGCTTGCCTAAGGGTTTTCTCTGACTTCTCTGAGGTGCAAATTCAGAGGAGAAAATCTGACATCCAAGTGGATTCAGAGCTATGATTTATCTTGGTATTAAACTTCCTCATTAATTCAAACATGCTCTGCTACCTTTATTCAACAATCATATTTGAATTTTTTCATGTCCTGAACTATTTATAGAAGAGTGAAGAAATAAAAAACCTGAAAGGCTCTAAGTGAATTCCTCAAAACCACATACAATGTACTTATCCTTGCAAAGGGATCTTAAAACCTAATTGTAGAATGCCATGTAATTTAACTACAATGGACACATTAAAGATAAATTAATTACTTGAAAAAGTAGAACAACAATACCCAAAATTAAACATTCAGGCCAAAACAAACAATTTATTTATTTTACTCGTTTGTATTATAGTCCACCTATAATCTGAAGATCTGACAACATAAACAAATTAGGTCATATACCTATAGCATCACATGAAATGCAGGACCAAAGACACAGGTTCCAAAACAACTAACCATGTATTTGACTGATGTTCAAAACAACTAAAGCATAAAGATCCATCAGGATATGCCTCAGGCTTTGAGATTATACTTTATCCTTCTTATAGCTTATTACAGCTAAACTTGAATAAGTCTCATTGCTCAGATGCCTTTCAGCTTGATCGCTCAATGTATGTGTTACATGTAATTCTTTTAATGACACCTTTGGTATGTGAAGCATTTTCAAATGCTTTCTTTAAATATACAGACAATGTTAACCACTGTTAAACATGCAATGTTAAACCAACACAATCTCCTGGATAATTCTGGCACATGTTAGCAATCTCAGACAGGATTAATTTTGGAATGAGTGCCGAATTGGTCCTCATTGGTTCTGCTCCCATCTACAGGTAAATAGTTGGTCTGACTAAATAGATAAACATTTTACAAGACAGCGGGAAAGCACTAGTCTGTATAGTCATTTTAGAATACATAGGACAATGAATTTTCTAGACATTCTAAAAACTGAGCCTGTTAAAATCCCTTTCTAATTAAAAACAGAGTGTTATTTAAAACCTTCCAATTACTTCTAAACAGCTAGCTGATTTTTGAAAAGGTAAGGCTGTTGGAGCAAGCCTAGACCACATACTTTGTGTCTTTAAGGATCCCAGATTCCGTTTAAAACATCTCCCGCTGAAAGAATCTTGGGTGACTGTGTTGAGGACTTTTGCCTCCGATAAGCACTGCCAGCTGTCTGGAACTCTCTCCCCAGGGAGACTTGCCTGTCCCTTTCTGTTGCCACCTTCTGCCAGTGGGTGAAGACTTTTTTGTTTTGTTTGGCATTCCCTCAATGATCCCTCCTTCCTAACCAATGTTTTATGTTTTGTATGTATTCTGACTATTTTATATGTATCTTAACCCTTTAAAAAAAAAATCCTCTTTTTAAAGTTGTTTTAATGAGGTGTGTTTGGGGGAGGGGTTTATTTTATTGGTTTTATAATGTATTTTATCTTGTATGTCTTAGCCGCCTTGGCAGCTCTTGTAATAGTTGCAAAAGTGGCATATAAATTTTGTGAATAAAGTCAACTGGTGATTCCTGGTGATTTGGGTGTGCAGCCTGGGTAGGCAGGTTTTGGGGAGGGAAGGAACCTCAGCAGGGTACAATGCCATACAGTCCACCCTCCCAAGAAGCCATTTTCTCCAGGGGAACTGATCTCTGTAGTCTGGAGATTAGTTGTAATTCCAGGAGATTTCCAGGCCCCATTTGAGTTGGCGTAAGGCTTCAAAGACTGACTGCCAGTCAGTGGAGGCAGTATAAGCTTAAGTGGTTTGGCTGACTGTAAAGGCAACTTAGCTTCTAGGATCAGCATATGAAGCTAAGACTTCACACAGAAAAAAAAACAAACAGCTAATAATTGTGTAGCATGCAGTAGTGAGTATGAATAGAGGAAGCTCAGGTTTAAAATTCCTGTGACTCTTATGTTGCCAAGTGACCAGCTCTTAGGGTGTGTCATGAAGAAAAAAACTGACATACAGGTAAATAAGAACATGCTCTTGGGATGGCACAGGAAAGGAATCTAAATAGGTAATTTCATTTCGTTACTACCACAGCAAATATAAACACATGCACCTCAGTCACTGTCAAAAGTATAAAAACACAGTGTTGTTCTATCAGAACATCCCTTACATGAAATCCTTTATTTTGGATTAACATCCTGCTGCTACATGCCAGATCTGTCACAGGAAAAATATCAGCCATCCAGGAGTGTCTTTTACCAGCTTCAGCTGGTTAGCCATCTAGGCAGCTACATCTGGTTACATCTAGATTAAACTACTGTAGTGTACTCTATGTGAGGCTGCCCTTGTGATCCCTCCTTCCTCCGCAATGTTTTAACTGTTGTTGTTTTTATCTTTTGTACTTATTTTAAGCCCTGGTTTTAACTTGTTTTAATGATGTATTTGTGTGCTGGTTTTAATGGCTTTTAAGATGAGATTTTTATGTTCATGTTTTAATTTGTTAGCTTCACTGGTGGTCTTAGGGGGTGCAGAAACGCAGGGTAAAAATCTTGTTAATAACTAAATAAAAATAAAGTTTAAAGGGAAAGGGGGGAGGCATTTTGCAGCTATTCATTAATAGTTGTTCACCACTGTAAGCAGTAAATATTCAGTAAAGTTCTTACCTTTTCTTCTTAGTGATAATGAGGACATCGTTAAAAAGAAAGAAGTACATCTGTTGCTTGGAGGTCCTTTTAGAGAAAATCCCACTGTCCTCCACATACGCTGTCAATTCGCCCCGTTTCACTAGCCACCGGGAAGAAGACACCAATGGAAAAGGCTATAAAGTAAGAAATTTGCAATTTAATTTTTTCTTAGATTCAATCAGATTTCTTTGGAGAGAAATGGGTATTTTGATTATAATCTTTTAAATTATATTCCACTTAGAAGCTTCAAATCAAAACTGAAAAGGTGAATTTTTTGACATTTTGAGAACAATATATGGTGCTGATGATTTCAGTGGACTGCTTACAGTGATGCAAAGTTAGGGCACAGACCATACCCTTCTATGAAATCCATTACTTTGAATGAACATTTCCAAAAAATCATTACTTCTTTATTCCACTTTTCTTGTATCAATGTGGTTTATATTCCAAGGTGGTCTTCCATTCAGACACTGACTAGAGATGCACTGGATTAATTTAAGAGAGTTTACTGTATCAGGTACCTTCCAATGACATCTTGTAATTCCGTCTCTTCTGCTGGTCTTTGGCTGAATGAAGACTGTGTGGTATAGGTTCACTGGCTATTACCCTGAATGGTATATCAGTACATATGTCTAACAGGGTGATTCAGCTAACTTCATTCCACATCTGCTGGCAACGCAAGCTTTGAGAATGCATGGAACAGGCAAATCCAGTCAATGGCCAAGTGAGTTGCAGTGTATTCTGTTGTGCATGCCTCTTTGGCTGCATGTGCATGAGGTAACGGATTGTACCTTTATTATTTTCCAAAGCACCAACTGTTAACCTGAACCTAACATTCTGCACATGGGGCCAGGATCTAGGTGGGGGGCTACTAAGTAGATTATGCTGCCTTGTGGGAAGTTAAAAGGGCCCTGGAAGAAGCCAAGCTGAGTGGTCTCTGCAGAGGTACAAGCCTGAGCTGTACAGAACCAGCAATTGGCATTAGCTCACCCATTGCTTTCTACCACACACTGATGGCAGTGCATGAGAAGGTGATTGGTAAGCTGCTGACAGGTGTGAACCAGGCAAGGCCTGAGATGGACCTTGGCTCTATTTGCTCCTGGCCCCTAGTAGACCAATGGGAAACTTCTCAGTAAGTTAAATGGTTAGTCTGCTCCTAGTTGCGGCAGGGTATTCAGGGGCTTCTTGGTTCCTTCCAAGCCTTTGAATTTGAATGCAGAATGAGAGAAGAAATGCTCCAGAAGACCGGATGAAATAGTCATTTCAGCTTTGAAAAATCCAGAATTAAAATCTCTAAATCATATTGTCTTTTAAGACAATTCTATTAAGAGTGAAAGGCATCATAATAATGCCAAAGCCTTGATGGATTTAGGGAGATTTGTGGCAGCGTACGGACTGCACACACACAAAAATCCAAATATATAAATTTAATAACACATTGTTTTCATATAAGCACGATTAAGAAATGCTTCTAAAGTTTTCTTCTATATGAATTGAGTATGTTTCTGATTTTCAGAACCAATTTATGTATTTGGCTAAATTCCTGAACACATATATTCTACTGTTCATTTGGACTTCACTTATCATTTTTCTGATTAAAAAAACCCCTCTCCCATTAAGTGAGCTGGACATTCTGCCAAGCACATTGGTAATTTTTACAATCCATTGGGAAATTACTTGGCTCATCAGTGAAACAACATTTTCTGGCAATATTCAGTTTATCTTATACAAAATGAGGCAACATAGAAGGAAAAAAGGCACAAGCAAACAATGTATTATTCTCATGATGTCTGAAACCTACAAATGGTTAGGGGGAAAGGCCATTACTATATAAAAGAATACTAAGCTTAAATGTCAAGTACCCATCACTAATCCCAGCCTGTTAGTGTTTTCACATAAATCATGTACGTAATGCAAACAAGCAGGGAACCCACAAGGACTTGCAGGGGGCATCTCATTTCCCCCTCCCCCACTAGTTCCTCTTTCCCTTCCACCCCCCAGCCTCCTTCCTTCTCTCCTTCCCACTCACTAGCCAACCCACTTTTACCTGCTTCTGTCTTCAGCTTTCCCTCTGTTCCTCCCCCTAGCAGCCTCCCCTTGGGAAAACTCTGGCTAAATTGTATTGGGCCATCTCAGCTAAGCCAAGTTGTTCAATAAGGAACCTGCAAGACTTGCAGAGGCATCTCCTTTTCCCCTACCCATTACTTTGTCTTTCCTTCCTCATGGCAACCCCAATATGCTCACCTTTCTCTGTTTCCTTCTCTCCTTCCCACCCACCTAAGCAGCCCCCTATTTTCAGCTATATTTATTATTTATTTACTACATTTATACTCCACCTTTCTCCACACTGGGAACCCAAAGCAGCTTAGATCCTTCTCCTCTCCTCTATTTTTTCCTCACAACTACTCTGTGAGGTTAGTCTGAGAATGTGTAATTCGCCCAAGGTCACCCAATGAGTTTCCGTGACAGAATGGGGATTCAAACCTGGGTCTCCCAGATCTTAGTCTAAAATTCTAACTACTACACCACACTGGCATTTGTGTGGTGGCTGCTGTTGAACAGTAGTAGGCAGCTAGGCCTATGTAAATCATGGGACTTGGAAAGTATCAAATTGTCCTTTGGTTCTTGCTGGCCCTGGTGAGTTCTCACTCATAGGCCAAAACAATCCTAGAAAGGGCCCTGTCCCCTCCTCCCACCTTTTACGGACAGAAACCAAACTTTGAAAGCCACAATACTGTTGTGGTCGCCTAGGAACAACCACAGAGGGCATTTTTTCTTAAAACTACAGGCGCTGCTGCTATCATTTTGTTTTGTTTTTTAACCCACATTGTGTGTGTGTGTTTGTTTGCTTGCTTAGATTTCAGATTTTCCTGCGAACCTGGGATTTTTCTCAGGTTTACAGAAAGATCTGCCTTGTCAGTTCATGATTCCAGTCTCTGCATTTAAGTATCCAGATATTTGGCAACATTGAGAATTAGATTATTGATATTTTCAATCTCTACAATACTCATCAGAAGAGCACTTGACATGACCCTCTCCCTTCCTCCGCACAATATCCTCCCTCTCTCCACTTTTTGGAGTGCAGTGTTACATCTACAGTAATATTAATCATGGTTAACTAAAAAGCAAGGTTGCAAATCTGCTTCCACCAAAGGTGAGCTCAATATGAAATGTTCAGTATTTATGAACTTTCTTAATGATGGTTTGAAAACGTTTGTTTTCTGAGGCTGTGGTCACATGAGCAGTTTGATCTGATAGCGTTGTGGTACCCTTGTGGATTTAAAGAGCACGATCAGACAGCGACATCTGCCTTCCATGCGCCAGTCATCACCACCCCGTTCTGCCCTGTCTTCAAAGCAGAGTTAATGGACAACAGGGAAAGTCCAGTCTTTACGGATGCCAGCACTTTCACCCCACATTTCTGGCTGTCCGAACTCCCCTGTTGCAAAGTTAAGCCATTTGGGAAGTCTGAACCTTCCCTTCTGTTTCCACCTCCTTTGTGTGTGTGTGTGTGTGTGTGTGTGTGTGTGTGTTTGGATCAGGTAGCTATGTGCGCAAGTTGTCAATCACCATGGCCAAGCAGTCATTCGGGAGTCCCTGGGGCAGTTGTTTTTGAGTGACAAATCCCCCCAACCCCCTCTCTGTTTCTGCATCAGAATTGCTGTTTTAGAGCATCCCATGCCTGACACAAGGGTAAATGCACTGAGGTCAATGGGACTACTCTCATGTAAATCTGTGCTTCACACACACCCCGGTGTATTTCAAGGAAGAGAGGTGAAGGGAAGGAGGCTGAGAGGGGCCGGAGTACTTGGCAGAGGGATTGTGGAGATGTCAAAAAGGAGCTGGAGCTTTGTATGCATGCTTAAGCGCATGGATGAAAGCAAAAAAATAAAAACAAAAAACCCAGGATGCTACAACTATCTGAATGATCGACCATGAGGCGAGTGCATGGTGAAGCCAGTTCAGGGTGGGATGTCTGATGAAAACTTCCCATTACAAGATAAAATGGTGTAATTAGAGGTGCAGCCAGATCGCACTTAGCCTGTAGTGTGATTGCAGCCTGAGTGTTCTTTTCTAACAGCTATGCTCTTGGTGCTTTATGCTTGACTATTTTAGTTTTCAATATGAAAACTGTACTTTTTAAACTATATTTAAGTTTTATTATTTTTATTTAAATTATTGTATTTTTTCATTGTATATAACTTCTAGGACTCTGGATGAAAAGCAATCACTTGATAGTTTTACTACTTTGATAAGTCACTACAAGATTTCAGTCTGTGCATTTTTTTTCCAGCCTCTCAGAGCAGAGTTTGATTTTTCACCACCAAGTACTCTCTTTAGTTTTTAGAATCTGGCAGTATTTTTACATCAAAATCTAAACAAAGAACACAGTCAAAGAGATAAGATAATGGTTCAAAAATATAGCAACTTTTGATTATTTGTCTAAGAACACTTCTACACTAGTGGAAAAAGGAAATTAGACTTGGTTTTTGGGAGGATCAAGGTATCTGTGCTTCACTTAGCTTTCTGTTACAGACTGTACACAGTTAAAATGAATGGGGGTTACTTAGGGTTGCCAAGTCCTACCTTAAGCCACAGAGGGGGACTCCCGGCTTGCGCACACCGCGAGCACATCACCCGGAAGTGACGCGGCCATGTCAGGTGCGCCGGGGGCGGGGCTGCGGTCATCCGAGGGAAACAGAGTTTTCCCTCGGATGACCGCAGCCCCGCTCCTGGCGTGGCCGCATCACTTCCGGGTGACGTGCTGACGCCGGGCACATCCCGTGCTTTGGGGGTGGGGTTCCCCCCGGGGCCCGATCCGCCGCTGGGGGGACTTGGCAAGCCTAGGGTGGCTGGTACGTTAAGCCAACAGAGGGTGGCTGATCCACGTTCAGTTCCTTGCTGCTTGCCTCCTTTACTGTATAAGTAAGGTAAAAACCTTACTGAACTCATTACCAGTTCAGAGCCTGCAGACTGTCAGCTTCCTCCTTAACCAACCTTAGTTTTTCTGCCTGCTTCTCTCTCTAGACCTCAGCCAAGTTTTTCCCAATTATTCCTTCTTAAAGGTACAGGCTCTTTTTCTGAGGCAAAGTCCTTGGCTGCTCAGTGAAAAACTACAGAAAGCGGGTGAGGCAAATTAAAATAAAGAAACATTAAAAGACTTGGTCAATGGATCCTTATGGAGCCTGCTGCCCAGCTTCCAATTGTAGCAATAGAAAGTGAAGCCTGAGTCAGTGGGTGTGATTTTACTTGCAATGGATCCATGACAATCCATGGTGAGCTAACTTTTACTTATTTACTTTTTAAAAGCAAGGACACTTTATCTACAGATATGCAGAGGGAACTTTTTTTTGTTTTGCTGTTTTGCTGTAATCAAGAATGTGTGTGTCACCCATTATATAATTAGTTTCCCTCCAGATTTAGTACAGAAAGGATGGAGTTCTAAACACACTTACTAGTGAGTAAGTCCCACTGCTCCCATTTGGACATGTAAGTCAACATGTTGATGACTGCAGTGCAAATCCTGCCCCCGCCCACTCCCTGAGAGACCACCCTTTCTATTTGGTTTTAAACATCCAGCCTGTTGAAAAATTCTGAAGTGGTTGGAAGCTTTCATACTGTGCTGTGTTATTTTGGTTGATATTAATAAAAGCTATTGAATGGCATTGGTTTTGACTTTTTTAAAAATACGATACTTTAAAATATCTCTCATGCACACACTGAAATGTGAACTCTTTTTTATGCAGTCCTTTTATTTCTTGGGGCATAGGCCTGGCTTTTTAAGTTTTTCTGCTGACTTTTCTGCTGTTGAGCACCAAGTGCATTTAGGATCCAGCAGTAATATTAGATTTATTATGAGATGGTAGGCTTCTTTAAACAGAATAGACTAAAATAGATTCGGAACTATAACTGGCTAATTATCTGGGTTACATGTCTAAACAATTAGTTTAGGGTAGAGATTAAGGAACAATTCACTTTCTTAGGATCACAGATCAAACAAAACAGCTAATGCAATCCAGAAATAAAACATCAAATCATGCTGGGTTGCACAGCAATGATGAGCATGAATTGAATATGGAAGAGCAAGGCCATCAGCCTAGCAACAAAATGCAGATTATTCTGTGCTACTGTGTTCCCCATAGCAACCTATGGCTGTGAAAGTTGGACCATGAAGAAGCAAGACAGGAGGAAAATCGACTCATTTGAGCTGTGGTGCTGGAGAAGGCTCCTGCACATTCCTTGGACAGCAAAGGTGATATACAAGCAGTACTGGAGCACATAAAACCAGACATGTCATTGGAAGGAAAAATAATAAAACTGTGACTGACTTACTTTGGCCATATCATGCAGAAGAACTCACTAGAAAAAGCAATTATGCTTGGATTGAGTAGCAGTAAAAGGAAACTGGACCGTCAAAGAACACGGTAGCTAGACACCATAAAAGTCAACACCAGCCTGAGCATGGAATGACTCAAAGAAATAGTACAAGATTGGAAAACGTGGAGAGAGCTGGCTGATAGAATCACCAAGAGTCGGACACGACTGAATTGCTAACAACAGCAACAGAGATTAAGGTGCTGGCCTTGGAACCTAACATAACTGTACAATTCTGGGCACCACACCTCCAACAGGATATTATAGCATTAGAAAAAGTGCAGAAAATGGCAACTAGAATGATCAAAGGGCTGGAACACTTTCCCTCTGAAGAAAGATTGAAGTGCTTGGAGCTCTTTAACTTGGAGAAATGACAGCTGAGGGGTTACATGATCAAGGTTTACAAGATTATGCATGGGATAGAGCACACAGAGAAAGAATTACTTTTCTCCCTTTCTCACAATACAAGAACTCGTGGGCACTCAATGAAATTGGTGTGCAGTCAGGTTAGGATAAAAGGAAGCACTTCTTCAGCCAAAGAGTGATTAACTTATGCAATTCACTGCCACAGGAGGTGGTGGCGGCTACAAGCATGGACGGCTTCAAGAGGGAATTGCTACGGTATGTAAATTGTTTTTAATAACTGTGTTGTGTGTTTTATATTGATATTTATATTGTTGTTTTATTTATTGTCATCTTATGTAAGCCACCCTGAGCCTGCCACGGCAGGGAGGGTGGGGTAAAATCAAATAAATAAATAAGGAGCAGAGGTCCATCAGTGGCTATTAGCCACAAGGTATATATAGGAACTCTCAGTCTGGGGCAAGTGATGCTCTGTGTTCTTGGTGCTTGGGGTGGGGGGCAACAGTGGGAGGGCTTCTAGTGTCCTGGCCCCACTGCTGGACCTCCTGATGGCACCTGGTATTTTTGGCCACTGTGTGACAGACTGTTGGACTGGATGGGCCATTGGCCTGATCCAACATTGGCTTCTCTTATATTCTTAAGTAATGAAGCTTTGGGTGAACTTGGACCAATGAACTTGGGTGAACTTGGGTAATGAAGCATTGGGTGAACTTGGACCAAATGTCCTCTCTCAGCCTAACTTATCCTATGAGGTTTTCATGACAGAAAATAATGCGGTAACCTTACCCATATGGGTCACCTCAGAGCCTTCCCAGAAGGGTGTAATATAAGGGTAAGGAATAAATAATTTCAATCTTTTAAATAAATATACACGCACACTACAACTTCTTTCAGAATATGGACGTGTTTGGCATTTTTAGAAAATGTGTAATGACCTTCACATATCTTCACATATATAAAGACTCATAGTAAAAAAGTAAACCAGAGTTAAAGCTTGTACAATAAAAGTTTGAAAGAAAATAGTGTACCTTGATCTTGAATTCCAACTGGGAATTAATAGTGTACATCATTTCTGTCCTTTCCATCTTCCGAGCACCTTCATTGCAGAGCCGAACCAACTGGGAAAGAAGAAATTTTAGTTAACCAATACTGCTGATTTTCATTAAGTCTTAACAATAAGAAAGGGGATTAAGGAAACTATGCAAGCATCTATTTTACAGGTAAAATTATAAATTAACCTTTTTTGTAAGTGAACCATCATGAGCAATGCTGATCACATTAATTCTGGAATACAGGGGTATAACTGTGTACATAACAACTTTTTTTAAAAAATGAAATTCATCCACAGAGCTGAGATTTACAGAACAAGAGTCCTCTTTAACTTCCTTCTCATGACATTTTCCTTGTAAACATCTCCCACCCCCATGCTGCTTTCACCCCTTCTGGGGAAAATTCAGCAAGAAAATGGCACATGGGGAAAGAGCTAGTAGCCTCACTTTTCCCTTCACATGTCAGTTCTGATATAAATTTTATTTATTTCAGAGAGCCCGTGTAATATAGTAGTTAAGAGTATTGGACTAGGATCTGGGAGACCCAAATTTGAATTCAGACTTTGCTATAGAAGCTTACTGGATGACACTGGGCCAAGGTCTCTCACCTAACCAACCTCACAGGATTGTTGTTGTGAGGATAAAATGAAGGAAGGGAGAACAATGTTGTAAGTTGCTTTGTGTCCTCAGTGGAACACGAAAGGACATAAATATCTAAACCTAATCAACCCAACCGAATAACAGCCTCCCTTCTTAAATTGTAGCCAAAGGCTGCGTTCTGTTCAAAGGGGAAAAAAGACTGGAAGAAAAAACTCACAGAAATACATATAACATATTTCCATCTCTATTTTCAAATGCCTGAAAATAAGCACTGGAAAGATATAGATGTATTTGCCTATTTTAGAGAAGAGACTGCATATGGCTCCTGTCACAAATAGTCTTGGAATGTGCATGTCTTTGTTCCACAACAAACTCATTCATCACTTTACACAGCTACGCAGAACTAGGCTTTACTTTATATTAACAATATTGAGATACCATTGTAACTGAGAAATTGTGTCTTGCAAAAGTGATATATGAAACAGCCTTATTAAAGTTTCCAGTCCTTCTGTCAAATATGAAAGATAGTGATAAGTCTGTAGCTGTTCCCTTTCCTTCAGGGAAGAACTACAGGTCACCTTGACAAACATACAATCCCAAAATCATTTGCTGAGGTATCATGATTAAGGAGAAAATCAGCAGTCAGAAAAAAGGGCACCAGTTCTCACCACCGACTTTCTCTTGCAAATGCCTATCAAGTCAGTTTTTTCCTGACCCAACTTACTTCCATTTTTTTGTTCTCAGCTGGGGGGGCTGCTGGAAATGGCCTGAGCAGATGAATTTGCAGGGCCACATCAGTAGCTGGAGAAAGACTTAAAATACTTTTTCCTGCCTATTTTTTCTCCTCTGCAAATGCCCCTCTCACCGCCACATTTTGAGATGTAATGGGCAGTTATGCCGGCAGTCATTCAAAGAATAAACAAAAACTGCAGATGCTCTTTTGGGCGTTCAATGTGTGGATAATTTGATAGAAAGACAGGCACCCAATTGAAGATTGTATTAGGATACTACCTTTACATTCTGAGCTTCATTTAAGTGAATATAATTCTACCATCTGTCTTTCGAAAACTCTTGCAGTGGGCAATTTGAACAAGCACTGTAGACGGCAAAATAAAATCCCACTCTTACTAAAATATATTGGAATCACTTGACTGCATTTCTGCCCAACTTAAGCATTTCTAATTCATACTGATTTTTATGCCCTTAACTTTGGTAGGATTTGCCTATACGTTAAGAGACATTACAGATTTCTTCACAATTCTATTTTAACAGTGAATATGCTTGTGCCGTTGAATTTAAGTAACAAGCAACCACAAGTAGGTTTTCTTTTAGATTGGTAAGGTAAAAATCTTTTGATACAAAAAGCCCACTACCTGTTTTCAGTATCCCAAAAGCTTTCACAGATTCAATGAAGGTTGGGGATTCCTGGTGTGCTCTAAAGGACAGTGGCTCTCCAGGGTCATGGGTAGAGATCTTTCCCATCAGCTAGCTACTACCTGATTTGTTTAACTGGAGATGTTGAGGGTTGAATGTAAGATCTTCTGCATGCAGAGCAGATAGTATACTAATGAGCCACAGCCCCATTCCAAATTAAGCCATGACATGACACAATGGCACCTTTGGATCTATGATGTGCATTCAACCATTTGTCTGGAATGTGTCATATAGCTTTAAAATTGCCCTATAAGAAGGCTTGAGAATAGAAAAAACGGCACAAACATATTACTGTTTTTCTGGGGAAAGTTCATATGGAGTTACTGAGACAGAAAGCAGAATGTTAGCAATTTCTATTTCCAGCAATTTTGTGTGTAGGAGGTATATTAAGCTATTTTCTTCCACTCGAAGCCAATGAATTCAGAACAAGTAATAAGGTATTTAGAGAAGATGAAGATAAAGCCTTTATAAAAAGGCCCTAGGGGTATCTTTTGCCTGGGAACCGCTTGGCAAACTGTTAGCAAGGCACCAGAAGCATTTTTATGAGCTGAGGATAAAAGTCATACTTATCAGTGATAATTTAGTGACATCCACACAGGGTAAAAGGAAGTACTTGTCAGAGGAAATGCTGAGGCTTCCCCCCCCCTTCTCCATTTTAGCCACTTTCCCAGTTTGAATACTGTACACTTCAATATCATGTTCTCATAAGGAGTTCCGGCAATGGTAGTGGAATATTATAATGCCGCAAAATCAGCATACAAAGCTGGCCACCAAAAAATTACAATGGGAGGGGGAAACAAAGATTTAGCACTTTGGCCCTTTCTGTCTCTCATAGTTCTAGGAGTAAAACTGTCGTTATCTGAATATGAATAAGTGAAGAGTAGTCCGAAGCGTCTGTGGCCTTAGGCACTGTCTGCATTTAATGTGGAAGGAATGCATATTTCTAAAAGGATATCTGTCCAACTGATCAGAATCACTTGCATTCATTTCTTTCCCCCCCCCTTTTTTTTGGTTATGAAATTAGACATAATATCTATCTTCCATGAAGAAGCTGGGGGGAAAAAAAAGAGGGGTGATTTCTCTCCTACAAACTAAGCTTCCACAGGAAAAGAAGGAAGACAAACCACCTCACCTTTCCTATACCAATATAAACTGGAAAAAAGAAAGGTGCCTTCTTTCCACCACACTTCCACCACACTTTTAGAATTAATCCAATCTCGAGGTGACCATTGCA